GACAAACGTCAGAATGTGGGTAATTCCCATCTGCTGAGCAGATGCAATTCAGACCACAAAGTGCAAAGTACACCTAAGCATTTTACAGTCAACTCCGGATCCACTTTTACTCATTAAAACTGAGCTGGGAGCCTTACAGGAACAGAGAACCTTTAAAGGAGCAGGAACCCTGGCATCATTCCCCTACACCTGTCACCCCACCATGTTAAATCTTTCACTGGTTAGCACTCACCCAGGAACTGTAATGACTAATTCTGGGTGTCCATCTGCATCTATCAGGGTCCCCTCTCTGTACTGTCAGTGCACAGTGCCAGCTTCTGTCCCGGCGAAGCTTAAGATTCTATATGTTCATTTAGTTAGAAGTCCAGTTTACATGGAAGTTTGCTATTCCTTAGTTTTAAAAAAACACTATTCATGTTATATATTATGTGATAATGTTTTTTAAAAATCCTTAGGATATATTATGATACAGTATTTCATGTTCGAGAAAACCAAGCTCTTCTTAGAAAATCAATTTATGTACCACACGTAAAGTATTGATATACAGACTGTTTGTACCATGCTGACTTCTTGGGTGTCCCTGTGGCTTCTAGAAAAATTTGTAACCTGAGAAGACTGGATATGGAATTCATTTCTTATCACCCACTTTATAGCTTTGTTAGGGCAGCTGAACAGTTGCTAAGCAGTCTGGTCTAGGCTGGTGGGGGACTCTTTGGGGCTGAGAGGGAAAAGTATACAGATGATTTTTTTCCTTTTTCATGAGATAGGGAGGTCCATAGGTAACATTTAAGTTAAATCCTAAAAAATACATTATAATTAGCACTGACAAGTCACCATGTATATTAAATCAGTCTTCCCTTTCCTGACTAGGGACTGCCTAGATAACACTTTAGTGGTGGCCTTTGGATCTCCTAAACCAAATAATCCCTATACTTATTTTAGGTCTCTTCTAGACTTCAGATTCTTCTGTACATGAGGGACATTTGATCACCTTTGCACACAACATAGCCTTGGCTCTCTACCTCAATACCATTGCAATTGTTCCACTCATCTTGCTGCCTCCGTGTTGTTTTGTCCTGAAATCTGTCTTCCATAAGCTCCCTAGTGGCCCTTAGGAGCATCATACCTTACACTTGCCTGCAACCTCCAGTAAGTGCCCATTGCCTGCAGGGTGAATTTTAAGCTTCTTAAAATGGTTCACAAGGTTCCTGCCTGCTTCTTCATCACTCACCATTCCCCATTTTACATGTTCTACTCTTAGAGTCCCAACTCTTTGAGCTTTTGTCACAAAAACTACAGAAATATCTAGAATGTCCTTGTTAATATTTTCTTTGCCTGGTAAGCTTCTCACACCCTTCTTGCTTAATCCTTCCCCTCCAGAGTACACAATAGGCAGCATCTATTCCCTCAAGCTCTCACCCACCTCATTGTATGGCTGAGGCCTCTTTATTGTGCTCACACAGCAAACCGTTAGGACAGGTCTTCTGTTAGAGGACAAAATTTGAATCAGTCATCAGATAAGAGAGAATCAACTTGACAATAACTTCTTCAGGTCTTTGTGCCCTTAATGCCAACAGGTCGAGTTAGAATGTTGCAGGCTACACTTTATCCTCGTGTTGTATTAACCCATTGCTTCAACAGGTGCATAAACTAATCATCTCCAAAAGTTCCTCTGGTAAAGTCCATACGATTAAAATGTGATGTAGTTTTAATATTTGGAATGCATACACCATTACTATAGTTGTTCACCTAACTTCCGGATTCTCTTTTCTAGTTCCTCACTTTATTGCACCATTAACTTACCGAATTTTATCCCAACACTATTTTACTAACTATTTTCTTCTTCCACATGCCAAAATCCTCCAAAGTTTCATTGATAGTCAGAAAGATCCTGCCTGTGGTGAGAAAAATATGGAAGATTTCTGTGGTATTTAGTTAGCCTGTGTTACACATGGTTTATAGGTTGGCCAACTACCTCTGTAAAGGGTCAGATAATAAATATTTTAGGCTTTGTAGGCCATATGGTTTGTATCACAACTACTCAACTCTGCAGAAAGAAAGCAGCTATAAACAATAGGCAAACAAAGGCAAACAATAGGCAAACAATAGGCAAACAAAGTAGTGTGGCTGTATTCCAATAAAACTTTATCTGCAAAAGCAGGTGGCCTGGGACCACAGTTTGCTGACTCCCTGGGTCATTTGGAGACTTATTTCTGTGCAGAAAGATTTAGTCAGGTTTTTTCAGATACAGAAACATTTTCCAAGTAGCTTGTTCCCAGAGAATAATCTTTCTAATCAAACATGGTCCTGAGGTAAATACTTTGAAGGTTACTTGTCCCATACCTTAACATGCAGTTTTATCAGAAACAGAAGCTGAGGGAATAAGGTTATGTAAAGATTCATTGACTTTAATAACAACTTTGACAGCTCAGCATATCAGGAGTTGCATCCCAAGTGAACCGGAAATTTCCATCTGCTGCTCTGGCACCCAATAATGAGAGCTATAAAAGTGTTCATGCTCTTTACCAGTGTGTTAATTTTAAGGAGCTATTCCACAGCAATGACTCCAATGAAACAAAATCCCTTGTGTGTCCAGTGATGTTTAGAACAGAAATATTCATCAACACTAAAATTCTAAAGTCAGCCAGCTGGGAAACGGAAAAATAACATGGAGGAATTCTGTAGAATGTTTTTATGTGGTGTTTGTGTGGAGTGTACTGATCCTTGGAAATGTGCACATTAAAAATCACAAGTGAGAAAAGTCAAGTGGAAAGTATGTTTACCTGATCTCAAACATAAAAATCAATATACATGAACTCTGTCATTCATTATTCATTAAATGCTTATTGAATAAGTACCCACTACGAGCAAAGCTCTGCTCTAAGCACTGGGAAGACAGCAATGAATAAAATAGACCAAAATTCCTGCCCTCACGGAGCCAAGTATTCTTATGGGAGGTAGACAGGTATTGAAGATCAAAGGGATTTTAGCAATTACTATATCTGGAAGTTTACTATCATGAGATGTCTCCCCCGTAAAACAACTTATATAAAAAAGCTTTCCACCTGTTGATATGTTTGGTTTTATTTTAGGAATAAGACTTCTTCTGATCATTTCATTCAACCAGTGTTTGTTGAGTTCTTACTATGTGCCATGCTCTCTTCCAGGCACATGAAACATAGTGTGAACGAAACATGGAAGCAAGCCTAGTCTCTTGGAGCTACAGTCTAGTGAAGGAGACAGAATATAAGATAAATAAATAAAATATATTCAAGGTTAGATGGTGACCAAGGGGCAGAGGTAAGGAGGAAAGCAGAATACGAATGTTGGGAGAAGGCAAACTTTCAGATTTGGTTGTCAAGAAGGACTCCTTGAGCAGGTGACTTTGGAGTAAATACCTAAAAAAAATGAATGCATTAACAGTGTGATGGCATGGGAGAGGTCATTCTGGGCAGAGGGAACAGCAAGTATAAAGGCCCTGGGGTGGGAATGTGCCTGGAGTACTCAAGGAACATCAAGGAGGCCAGCGGCTAGAGTTCAGTGAGTGTAGGAAAGAGAAGTAGAAATGAGATGGAAGGTGTAACAGGGATCAGATCACAACTGGCCTTTGAAGTCATTGGAAGGATATTGGCTTTTATTCTAATGATGAGAAGATATTGAAGAGCTTTGAGCAAAGGAGAGAGGTGATCAGGTTTGTTTTAAAATAACTCCTGCTGTTGAGAATAGACAACAAATACAGGGAGGCTTTTAGGAGACTGTTGCCATAATGCAGGTGAGAGAAGATAGCTTGGACCAGCAGGGTGAGTGACAGCAGCATCTTGAGCTGTGGTAGCACAAGGGGAGGATGGAGGTGTGGCAGGAACCAGCATTCCCGTTGCCAGAGCCCACCTGCCACAGAGGGTGAGATGCCTAGGAGCAACAACTATTCCTGAACTGTTGCTGTATCTCCAGTGGAAAGCATAAAGTCAGGCACATACTAGGTGCTTAAATTAGGTTGATTAAATGTTGTAAAACAAAAGAGGAATGTGAAACGAAGTCTGTTTTACAGCTGTCTCCTGCTACAGAACACTCTCCTCACCACTTTGTCTGCAGTCATTTTCCATTCTTTGGTTATTTATTTATTCTCTTATGAAAATATTTTAATGGTTAACTGTCAAAATAAAACTAACTCAAAATTTTATAAAACAACAACCCCGGGAAGAACTTGACAACAGAGAGGACAGTAGTTTTTTTTTTTTGGCTGCACACACAGCTTGTGGGTCTTAGTTCCCTGAACAGCAATCACACTTGGGCCCTTGGCCATGAAAGCCTGGAGTCCTAACCACTGGACAGCCAGGGAATTCCCTTTTACTCCAGAATTTTAAGCAAAGAATATTTTTAAATGTCAGTTTGTTACTGTCAGATAAAAAGAACCTATACTTACACCATGTGGAAAATAACTCCTTCCTTGTTTATCAGGAAAGTCTTTCAAAATAGCACATAAATTAGCTATTACGCATTGTATATGCAAAACTATGTGTTTATATATAGGATTAACCCACTCCACCCCCCGCAGGGAAGCCAAAGCTTTCATCAGGGTTTCAAAAGATACTGTGACTTAAATGGGTTAGAACCACTGCTTTAGATTATAAATTCAATCCAAACAGCTCTTTGCAGCCAGTCATTTCTTCATTATGGAAAATTTTGAAGGACTTTTTAAAAATCAAATTCAACTTTGAAATTATTAACACACATCTTCACTAAGGGAAAGTAACCACCTAAGACCAGATTTTATTTGTTTTACTTTGATGATTTATTTATGAATTAACACCTTCAACATTTGTTGATGTCCTAAGAAGGCTTCAGTTTTCAACGACCTATATTAAAATGACAGAATAGTAAGATTCCATTGAACCATTTTTTCCTATCTCATATCTTTTTGAACTGAAGGCACCATTATTGCCTTCTACCATTAAAGAGCCTAAGACTGATTGTAACTGAATGTAATATTGTTTTTTTAGGGAACAACTTAATTCTTTATTGAAGACCTATAACATCTTTTATAGGAACCAGAAAAATCTGCATATTTTATATGGACAGGTAAGCCCGTCAAAGAAATGCAGTACAGTTTGATTCACAGGAGAAAAAAATCCATAAAAGTACAGAGAAGTCAGGATAAGTTGGAGTCCATAACACAAAACGTCTGGGAGAAGCAGGTGAATCTTTAACTTGATCATGATTTTTCAGTTTTAGACTATATTGCAAAATCCTAGTCCTGAAACATCTGTGACTTTCCAAGTATTTTTTAGAATGGGAAAACTTTTAAAACAACTTTAATGACATATTTGCTTTCTACTTTAAAAACAGAGTATGTACATCTTTTGAACAGCAATTCCATTAAAAATCTATCCTAGAAACAATTCAGCAAGCATTTTTAAGGTTGCAACTGGCAGGCTACTGTACAAAGTGGCCTTAGATTGGTTTTTTAATGCCTCATCCTCCACAGGTCTTCCTACTCAGTCTTGTATTCTAATGGGACTCACTTCACATCTTTACAATATCTTCCTGGTCCTAGGGAACATTAGAACTTTCTACCTACGTTTCAGATCTTCAAATGTGTACAGCATTGACTTTAGGCCACCATTGGCTTAAATCTGTAATTGGAACAGAAGGAAATTTATAAACCTCTCTGGCCTTTACTAGTGAGCTTAAATGATTTAGTTTGATTGGACATTTCAACTACCTTTCCAAATGTAATTTCCTACAGAAGTAGGAAATAACTAATCCCTTTATAAAGAAATGGGCCTCAATTTTTTTAATGGCCTAATTTTAAATTATTTCAATATTATCCTGTATCTTAGATCTCTCATATAGGTAACTGTAAAAATATAAAATTTAAGAAAAGATCAAAACTTTAAGAAAATGATTTTATATTTTAATTCGGTTGTTTCCATAGAATTCATGATGTTAAGAAGTTCGTTTCCTTTAGGAAAATGTTTGAATTTTGATGTGACAAGCATATAACTTGAGGCATGTCATTTCCTATTCTGTGAATCAGTGCTCAATCTGCAAAAGTCATTTGATTTTTTAGAATAAAGTGTCCTGTCTTACATAATTTTTAAAAACTGTATGAAGTAAAGTATACAGTGAGAATATCAGATTGCTTAATCTTTCCATCTTTACTCACCATCAGTAAAGTTAGAATCCGGAATTTTGCAAGTCTCTGACTTAGTTACAATGATGGGCACTGTTAAAAGGGGCAGTCCATGGAGACTAGCATGTAGCTTTCTAAATCTCTGATTAATTAACTTAATGAATATTTATTGTATACAACACAGCAGACATTGTTCTAAAAGCTAGAGACATAGCAATGAAGAAACTAAACAATGTCCTGCCTTCATGCTGCTTACATTTTAGTAGACAGAAAAGAAACAAAAAAGTAAACTGTGTATCCAATGATGATAAAGGCTGTGGAGAGGGACTTCGCTGGTGGTACAGTGGTTAAGAATCTGCCTGTCAACGCAGGGGACACAGGCTCGAGCTCTGGTCTGGGAAGATCCCACATGCTGCGGAGCAACTAAGCCTGTGCGACACAACTACTGAGTTGCCTACTGCAGCTACGTGCTACAGCTACTGAAGCCTGCGCACCTAGAGCCCATGCTCTGCAACAAGAGAAGCCACCGCAATGAGAAGCCCACACACCACAACAAAGAGTAGCCCCTGCTCGATGCAACTAGAGAAAGCCCACATGCAGCAATGAAGACCCAATGCAGCCAAAAAAAGAAAGGCTGTGGAGAATAACAAAGCAGGGAAGAGGGCTCAGGAATCTAAGTGGATGAGGAAAGAGGAACATTTGACCAAAGACTGAAAGATGCCAGGGAGCAAACCTTGTAGAAGTCTGTGGGACACACATTCCAGGCACAGACATATCCAGCATCCCAATAAAGGTCCTGAGCCTGGCTGGTGTAACTGAGGTATGGTGGGGAAGCCAGTGCAGCAGGAACCTTGTGGGAATGGGATAGTAGAGAACAAGGAAGCTATGGAGAGAACTGAGAAGGGGAGGGCACCAGAGCATGTAGGGTCTTATAGAGCATTGTGAAGACTTCAGCTTGTACTTGGAATGAGATGGAAAGCCACTGAGGAGTTGTGATATTATCTAAAGATTCATTTTAAAAGGATCTCTCTAATGAACTTATGGTTACCGGGGGGAAGGCGGGGGAGGGATAGTTAGGGAGTTTGGGATTGACATGTACACACTGCTATATTTAAAGTGGATAACCAACAAGGACCTACTGTACAGCACAGGGAACCTGCTCAATATTATGTAACAATCTAAATGGGAAAAGAATTTGAAAAAGAATAGATACATATATATGTAGAGCTGAATCACTTTGCTGTACACCCAAAACTAACACAACATTGTTAATCAACTATACTCCAATATAAAATAAAAAGTTACAAAAGTAAAAAAGAAAGCGCTCTCTCTAGCTACTAGGAATACATAGAGGGGCAAGAGAAGAATGAGGTAGACCACAAAGAAACTATTGCAATAATCAGGCAAACAATGACGGAGGCATAAACTAGAATTGTGGTAGTACCCATAGTGAGCATAGCCATATTGGGGATATATTTTTAAGGTAAAGCTAATAGGATTTGCTAACGTATTGGATTTTGAGAGGTTAAGTATGAAAGAAAGATTAATGGTGACTTTAAAAATGTTGACCTGAACAACTGGAAAGATGGGGGTTCTATTTACCAAGATGGGGAAGACTGGGAAAGGAAAATATTTACAGGAAGAAAGATCAAAAGTTAATTAGGAACGTATTAAATTTGATGTCAAGTTTGACAACTGAAGTTTAGGGGAAGGTTTGGGCTGTATATCTAAAGTTGGGAGCTATTAGTTTAGAGATGGCACATAAGGATCATTGAGATCACCAAGGGTATTGGTGTAGATGTAGAAGAGAAAAGGCCTGAAGATTGAGACAATGAGATTAGATAAGTATAAACAAGGCTTCAGGGATAATTTATTTAGTTAATTTCAAAAGAGATGATTTCTTTTTTTAATTAAATTTATTCATTTATTTATGGCTGCACTGGGTCTTCGTTGCTGCACACGGGCTTTCTCTAGTTGCGGCGAATGGGGGCTACTCTTGATTGCAGTGTGCAGGCTTCTCACTGTAGTGGCTTCTCCTGTAGAGCACGGGCTCTAGGTGCACAGGCTTCAGTAGTTGTGGCGCGCAGGCTCAGTAGTTGTGGCTTACGGGCTCTAGAGCACAGGCTCAGTAATTGCGGCACACAGGCCTCGTTGCTCCATGGCATGTGGAGTCCTCCCGGACCAGGGCTTGAACCCATGTCCCCTGCATTGGCAGGCGGATTCTCAATCTCTGCGCCACCAGGGAAGTCCTAGAGATGGTTTCTGAAATTAAAAAATATTCTGATATTCCTTATATGAGAAAGCCTCATTTTCTGATAATAGTTGGAGTATTTCTTCTTGAAAGCAAAAGTTAGATAACCTCAGAAGAGCAGTTATTCTATCAGTTTTTTGTTTTGTTTTGTTTTTTGCGGTACGCAGGGCCTCTCACCGTTGTGGCCTCTCCCGTTGCGGAGCACAGGCTCCGGATGCGCAGGCTCAGCGGCCATGGCTCACGGGCCCAGCCGCTCCGCCGCATGTGGGATCTTCCCAGACCGGGGCACGAACCCATGTCCCCTGCATTGGTAGGCGGACTCTCAACCACTGCGCCACCAGGGAAGCCCCCTATGAGTTTTTGATATAAGGGATTCATTGTAGTATAATTAAGCCACGAAAAGATGTTATACATCAATAACTAAAATGTAGGCTCTGCATCATGTACTGCCCTTTCAGAGAGCAAATTATGTTTGGCTGTTAAGGACAACTGATTGGTACCTGACCTCACAGTGATCTGAAATATGAACTCAAAAGGAGGAGAAAGAGCAAAACTTTGTTTCAGGAGTGACTCCAAAGTAGGTTTGTCAGCCAAAGAAATAATAAGCAATATCATTTATTGAGCACTTTAAATACAAGGTCCTATGAATCAAGGATTGTTATGATTTCATTCTTCAGAAGAAGCAGCCCAGTTTTATAGGTGTTTGACATCTTGTCCAAGAGAACACAGCTAGAAAATGGCAGAGCCAGAGTTCAAACACAGGTCTGTCTGATTCCAGAGTCTGGAGTTTTCATTACACTCTCAAATAAGAATTGAGTCATTTATGTTTATATTTATTATGTTTTCTAATTATTGATTTTTCATAATAACAAGTAGTTATTGCATGTTAGAGTAGTTATTGGACCGTTGGAATATTCTTTCTATATTTCCCAAATTTACTATAATAATAACACTACTTTAATAACAGACTTTTACATATATAAGAGAGAAATAGATTAGAAAATACATTCTATGGGAATGTGCTTTGGTATTAATATCTACATCCACAGGATAAGTAAGTGTTCAATCCTGTTTACTAATTTTTCTTTGCATAGAATTCCCTTCTTTTGTTATAATAGTTCCAAATTAAAAGAGATTACTCAATTGCTACTGATTTTTTTCAAAAATATAATTTGTTGTGTATTTTACACTGTTTTTACATACATTATTTCACCTGTTCTGCATAAGTTTGTGAGCTAAATTTTTCCTGTTCAGAAATGAGAAAATAGCCACTAAACTGAACAATAGCTGTTCTTCTGAATTCTACTTTAGCACAGTTTTTAATTCTGCTTTAACTTTATGCTAAATAGAATTAGAGAATTAAAATTCCACTTAATTGAAGAAGCAGAGTTCAGAAAATATTTTAGCATACTGTGCCCTCTGGTGGGCATGTCATCACCATTATGACTTTGCTGGTTATAGCTGTTTTCAAAAATAAAAGAATGTTTCAAAAGTAGAAATGTTTTGTAGATAAATTTAAAAGCCAAACAGTCCCACCTGGGAATTTATTTTTTATCTATTAAGATGTCTTACAGACTTCATTTCTACATCTTCAGTTAAAACATTTGGCTTCTATAAATAATACAAAAGCAGTGTTTGTGATGATTGGTTTCTTCCCTAGACTGACGATGGGAAACTAATTGTTGAAGGAACGCTGGACATTTTCTGGGGAGTAAAGCAGCCTATACAACTGAAAATACAAGATGAAAAGCAAATGCCTTCTTTCACTGTGCTAAAGTCACCAGATGTCTTTTCCAAAAGGTGAGCTATCTTTTATGATTTTAATTCCTTAGCAAATTATCTTCACATTTACCTTTTTTGTGTGCCTCAAGGATGAAAGCTCTAAAGTTTATATACAACCTCATTTAATCCCCCATCAACTCTAGGACGTATGTGTTCAGAAACCAGGGCTCTGAGAGGTTAGGTAGTTTGTGCAAGATCCACAATTACCATGTAGCAGAACTGGACTGGACCTCAGGTCTATGAGTGCCAGAGTCTGGCTCTTGACCTCTCTGCTGTATTCCTTCTCTTCTGGGAGACTGCGTTCTTTCACTAGAGAAAACAAAATGTAAAGGCAAGATTTCATTAGCCCTGGTCTTATCACCAAAAAGAGGGGGATAAAATTTAAATTTCTCCTCTTCTTAGAACAAAGGGCTTTTCCTGCTTTCTGGAAAGGAGACTTAATTATGTTCCATCTGATTGCTGTGTCCTGTTAGGATCAGGACAAAGTGTATGTGAGGTACAGTAAATGCACAAAACAGTACTCTGTGTGGGTTTATGCAACTGTACCTTGAATACGTAATTTGGGCTGAGATATATATTTTCATTACCCTTTACAATTTTTAGAAAAATTAATAAATATTCCCAGAGAAATCACAGATATCAATATTGTTTTCTTCCTCCCTCCCTTCTCCCCTTCCTTTTTAATCCTTGACTTTCTAACACATCTCCTTTTTGCGTGTACATGGAGGTATCAAGCGTTCTCTTCATCCATCCTTCTATCCATAACTAGATGAGCTGGAGTTCTAGCAGGAGAGAGGATGGAGAGAGAGCAGCCAGGACCTTTTCCTCAATCTGACCTTTGGTCATAACCAAGGAAAATCGGGTATCACCTTGAGGGAAGCCCCACTTTTCCTTTGGGGAAAACACTGAAGTCCCACTATGATTTGCACCTTGCCAATCTTTCTCAAATGTGAGGTTCCAGCAATTCTGAACATTTTATAATTCCCTAC